GAAGGGGGCGGGGGCGGGGGCGGCCGGCTGAAGTCAGCCCGGCCGTCCTGCAACTTCGGTCCCACGCACACGCCCCGGAGCATCGCTTTGCCTTTTGGAGAAAAACGAGAAAAGCCGAGCTTTCCGGATGAGAAACCACTCGGCCAACTCCACAGACGCACAGTAGGTCTGTGGAAAGACGGTCGCGTGATTGGCAGCGACTGGATTATGCCCAGTGTTCTGCCTGGGCCCCGCTCCCCCCGCGCAGTTACTGCCCTTATTGATAAGAAGTGGCCCCTACGCCACCACTGACCCTGCCCCAGATCCTCAGCGCGGCGCCCGGCTTGCCTTTGCCAAGCGGAACACCTCCTCACCCTCTGGTCAAGGCAGGGATCCGCGCATCCCCTCCGCTCTCCCGAGCCTGGAGTCTTGTGGTCGGACCACTGCCTTTGGCTCTGTCCTGCAGAGCTGTCACCGCCAGGACACCCAAACAGGCCGCAGGGAAAAGAAAACTGTGAATTCAGGCTCGGGTAGGGCAAATTCAATCAGGAAAAGGGCTGCAGACTGCAAATTGAACAAAGCATCGCAGGGACAACGCTGAATGTGAAATGAAAGCTCCCGGAGAGAGGGTCAAAGATTTAGTGTAAACAGATTTTCTTGGTAAATAAACCTTGGTGTCTGTCCATCTCCCCTCCCTTCTCAGTAAATAAGTAATAAAACGTCTAAATTTTATGACTGCAAGCTTCCATATCCTCTCCCCTCCCGGTGAATAAATAATAAAATGTCAGAATTTTAAGACTGCAAGCCTCTTCATTTGTAAGTGAAGAAAGAGGGCCTTGAAGTGGGGGAATAAGTTGATCGATACTAAAATCAGACCCAAAGATTGATGTATCCATCCTTGGATGACTGGATCATGCATCATTCATTCTTTTTTTCCTAACTCACAATTTGCATTTATTCAGGCAGTATCTCAACTGAAAAGATTACCACAGCAGCTTGGCGTGTTGGGGTCTGCCACCCTCCCTCCCTTTTCTCTGCTCCTCTGTTTCTCCTGTCCAGCATCCAGACCCCTCTGGCCCAGCTCCAGGGGAAGGAGTGGATCATGGTGTCCTGGGGCAGCTGCAGACAGGCCCAGGCCCACTTTTTGGTGACTCAGTACAAATGAGTCATTTGGCAGAAAACCTGAAGGATGCTTC